TTTGTATGGGTTCCAGGAAAAAAATTGCGTAACTCAGATAAATAGGTGTATATTGATCGGGGGATGTGAAGTGAAAAATGAACTTATGATGAAATCAAATTCGATGGTTCGGTGCGCGTCCGTAACTGTGAAGTCTAACTGTTATAGAGGGTTGATTTGTAAGAAATCTGGGTTAATACAGTAGCGGATGAACAGTTACCACTTTTCTAATTCTGTATATTTTTATTCTTTCTTAACATCAACATGAAACTTTAATATTCTGGGTTTTGTACAACTTTTAAGTATTTATCAGAATATATATTAAACACATACTAAAGTTTTAAGTTGATGTGAAAAAAATAAGAAAAATAAAACAGGTCGAAAAAGTGATAACTTTTTTGCCTGCGACTGTATATTGTATTGTATGTAAATAATACGATGCAGACAGATTGAATTGTATTGAATTCATTTTTGGCACGCATGTAATCGATAAGAAACTATAATGCGCTTAAACAATGAGAACTTTTATATCAGTCTTTCAATAAACATGTGTTTTACGTTGGCCAATCGTATACATATTCATGAAATTTCTTTTGATACTTTTTGTCACAATTGAGATATACAGTCAGACTGAAATTTTATTGTTTAATAAATGTTATTGTTTTAATTACCGTTGTTTTCCATACACGATACCATTCCAGATGTAGAGGAACCTCCTGTACACAGATAGTATGTTAGTTTCGAAACTGTCGACGGAAAATTGCAGAACAATAATTAAAAGTTACAATACATTGATTTTCCACGGTTCGTATTTAATACATTTCGGGAGGATCCCGTCGGTGTAATCGTTTTGGGAAATTTAATTATCGAAGATGCAAATTTTGTAAATGTTTGTAGAGGCGTGTGCGATTTCAGCCGCGGGGTTTTCATGCGTATAATTTATAAAGGACGAAAGCAGTAGATTGTAATAATTTGAAAGAAAAATAAGATGAGCGTGGCATTTCATCGATCCGCCATACATCGCGCGGAAATTTTAATGGTACACGTGCACCAGTAGGTATACGAGTAAAGACAAAAACGACCCCGTATTCGAAAATAATTTTTGCAATCATATTATCCCTTTGCTTTGTTAACAAATTTTACACTTAACATTCTGTCGTTCGGTCTCTCGCGCGTGAATGTAATTCAATCAATGGTTTAAAATCGCGATTGCATATTTAATTCAATATGAAAATTCGATCACACGTCATGCCATATGCACAGTTTACAACTATAGTGGTATAATAATATCACGTGACTAGCGTAACCGATTGTGTAGCCGTCGGTTACACGCTTTCGTCGTGTCACAAACGGTGGACATTGTTTCCCGCTTTTCCAGTGCTTGCTCGCCAAGTTACAATATTGTTGAATCGTTCATGATTACGCACTACCGATTGGTCGCAAATATTTGCATTAGCCCCAACGCTGGTATAAATAACCCGGAACGTTCGGAAATCGTTGCCTTACTGATCGACGATGAAATTGCTATCGATCCAATAGGATCGATCTTACGGTATCACTACTGGGATAGGATCGGCGGAATAGCTTCGGGGGAATTAATTCTTGCGATCGCTTGTGTCTCCTGAAAACTTATTTCAGAGAAATTACTGATTTTTTGTTGTTGAAATAATTGTTTATTCAACAGATTTCGGGAATAATTATTAGCCGTCATATACAGTTTAGAAATTGTTTAGAAGATTTGACGACTTAACTTCTTCCAGACTATTTAAATAATTTAAAATAAATCAATACAAATGACGTCAAGGGGCAAGTACAAGTCGTAGAATCAATTATAGACAATGTAACTCCATCGGAAACGATGAAAAAAATTGCACAAAAAGACAGTAATAAAATTCATCATGGCACCTCTGGTAATTGTCGCGCGGTCGTCTGTGTCTAGTTTTCGGATAGAGAAGAAAAAGGAACCACCCAGGTACACGCGGTCCATGAATGGTAACACGTTGACCAATCGGAAAAAAATGTCCGTTCCCATCGGGGAATGATTCTCTCGCGGCGTGGCCCGCGAACAGACAGAAATTGTCGGCGGGGAAATAACGAACCGAGCGCGCCCCGCGTAGGTCGATTCGTCGCCGTCGAAACAATAACAATCGACGTGTGCTCGACGATGCGGTAATTAAAATAAAATTAATTGGATTGGTCGTGTGCGCGTTCTCGTGCCGGGAACTTTCGAAGGAGATGGCCGCACAGCCGTAGGGGCGTTTTGTGCGTTATTGACTATAATGCACTGTTTATTCTGCATTGCTCCCCCTCCCCCTGGCTAACGACCCCTTCTGTACCACGTGTGTATAGGTATACCACATGCGTCAATCCGCTTTTTTTCTCCTCCTCGCTCTTTACAGGAATCTTATCGGATGCCGGAACTGTCTGTTCAAATTTAACCCATTAAGTACCAAAAGTTTGAAGTCATCCTGTATGAATCACCAAAAGTGTATTTTGCATTTGGACAGTAATTGTTTATGAAAGACATACCATATTTCTGGTCGAATGTATCGAGAAAACATAGGATATTTCTATATCCATTAACATTCGTATTCAAAAATAAATTTAAACATCGACATTATTAAAATCCGCATCGTTTTCCATCTACCCTTTCCCATTATTTTGTTCGTAATTTATTAGATTGCTGGGAAATAAATTTCCGTTCGAATATTTTAACATTACCATTGTTCCCGACATAATTAAAGAATGTATACGATTTATTTCCATGTGAAATTGATATGAATTTTAGCACATATTGGTTCGATTTATGCATATGAACTAAGGGTGATCCAAAGTGAGTGTCAAAAACATTAACATTATTTTTGGGAAATTATTTTAGGCCCATAGATTGTATTCTTAATACTTAAGTAATGACAGTGTACTAAAATTTATACGAATATTATGCAGCATTATGCATTCGACTATTTGTCGAAAAATTTTCTAATACTTCTACCGAGGTCCTTTACAAACCTGCAGAGTTTCTTTTTTTTTTAAATCCGTATTTTTGACGGTATCGAAGTTCCTTTGTGAGCTAATAATATATTACGTTCGGTAATACTTAATTTCGACGAGATTCCGAGATTTTACTGGTTCCGTAGGATCGATCGATTCTCCTTTTCTCACGGCGGTGGTCCGCGACCAGCTCATTAAAATTTCACCGTTGAGACAGAGAGAGAAAGAGACTTGTCTTGATCTTTGATTCGCCCTGGCGAAACTTCGATGCGCGCAGTGGAACCTTGCGGGGATCAGACCGATTTCAGCTACAAATTCACTTTGACTTCAACTGGTGCTCCGATTCCCACGGGATACATCGAGACGGCTGGCCTGTTTCGAGCCTCTTCCACTCGTTTCAGTAGAAAAATCGAGGAAACCGCGGACCCCGCTCCAGTTTCGTTACCTCGACGGTGATAGACACCTGTTAAAGAGTGGGTTGCACTTAAACTTCAAAATGGATCTCCGTTTCCCCTGGTCCGAAGTGTTTCTGTTGCTGAGATAGATACTTTGTATATGCGTTTAAAAATACAAGAAATTATGCCAGTAATACAAGAGTATATCAAACGATTTCCTGAATTTATTATTATAAATTATATTTTATATTTCACCCTTGTAATAGGTCCTTAGAATTTTGATACAGAGCTTTTCTCCATTGGTTTTTGTTAAACTTTCCCCATTGATATAAGTAATTGTGTAAAAACTTGAGTTTCCAGGGATATATGAGTTATAATGTTGCCTCCTTCAATATTTTGCGTTTGAATAAAAACTCGTAATGTTAGTTTCGCGAAGTGTGCAACAGGAATTAGTTGTCGGTGCCGCCTGCATGGGGCTCCTAAATCCAATAATGACCCGAATATTACCTACCAGGAGTAAGGTTTCACGCTATTTCCTCCGTGTGTATCGGCGTAATTTTATAAACACTTTGAAAATTTTGCGCCGCGGTCCGGCTTCAGCGCTCGCTGAGATTGCCTGCTGCTTTTATGGCTTCGTCTGCTCCGCGGGAAAATAATTACAAAATCACAGAACGGAACACTTTAAATCGTTCTTCAGCCCCCTTGAGAAGTCGCATTTGTTCAGCTTCCGTGCTCGGTTCCACTTCGGTACCGCCCAGCGGAGCGGCTCTCGTTCTCAAACACACCGCGAAACCTGAGACCGCGATCGATGGAAATGTAATGGCACCGATAAATATTGGATTGGCGAACATGAAACTGCTGTTTTTAAACGAGAAACTTCAAACGGTCAACAATGTTTACCGTTAACCGTAACAATTTCACTGGGGCATAATTAGCAATTGCCTTGGTACAGGGTGGTTCACTTGATATTATCATCATAATGTACACTACCGTTCATAAGCATTGGGGCACCTGGTAAAAAATATTTCTCTTGGACCTTTTCGTAGCAATTACGCCAAGATATTTCGAATTTTCGCGATATCAATTAAAATTCTGAATGGATCGTTAGATATATTTCACACCCTCCCCAATAATTGGTTGAAGGTACACAACCTCTTAATGTGTAAATTTACAACGTTAAGCACCCGAGTCAAATCGTTTTGTACACATTGACCGAATAGAAAACGGAAACAATGCTTCATTAAAACTCTATCGGTAACACGTACGAAGTAATCGACATCGGACCAATTTACATTCCAATTTCCCCTGGTCGGACGAAAAAGCCATGTGTTCCGTAGCCAAATTCATATCCCACCGGAATATTCGGTGTCACGCGTTACGCGCGGCTTGTCGTTATTGGGTTATACACAAAAATTGGAAATTTGTAGTCTAAATCGTCGTACGATGTAATGAAAATATTTCGAGGCCAACGATGATATTATCGACTGGACTAATTTTCGATAAATTGTGAAGTAGAAAATTTATTTGCAAACTGTATCGACGCAGAACGTTATTTTCCTGGGGAATGTTAATAAATGCATTGATAAATTAAGAAATTGTTGATGAACGAAGTGAAGTACATTGAATCGAGCGAATATGGCCGAAGCGGAGGAAGATCTTACAACTGACGTCGATGACACCACCACCGACGCAGTTGACACAGAGGCGACGGAGGATGTCACCGAGGTAACGGAGGATGTAACGGAAGCCGAGGATGAAGCTCAAAAAGAAACGGAGAAGGAGGACACAGAGCCTACCAAGAAAAAGGAAAGAAAATTCTCGATGAAGAGGTGCATGCAAAAGAGATGGACTTGCGACGACATGCCCCTTTGGCAGATTTACATGAACACGTAAGGAAAAGTAGAGATTATAGTTGTGATAATAATAATGACAATAAAGTTAAGAATAAGGGAAACGAAATAGAATATAGTAAAAAGATAGAAGTAAAATGTTTAGAAGAAGTTTACATGTAAACGACATTGTTGTTCCAAAACTAAGAGATTCGTGTGAAATGTATTTCTCAGATACTTGGAGGAACAGAAGCAATTGGCGCAGGATGACATATTTAAACACAGGAAACCAGCACCGCACCGAAAGTTTCCCCGTGTTCAGTCGGAGGAGGATTTAACCACGCCCCATAAATGCTTGCCCCTCAACGCTTTGCAGCTTTCAGGCGAGCATGACCTACCGAACAAATTGGATCGCTCGAAGATGATCCGTGTCTGGAAAAATATGCGGTCGAATTTGCCGGTTCGTAAATATAAAGTGAACCTTGTGGACTTAAAATGTTGTTTGATACTAACATTACCGTAAAGATGCGTTAAATGTTCGTCCGTTAAACTTCAGCAATTTCAAATTATCTCTTCCTCTACAGTAAATTCTTATTCAGTGTTCGAAGTCTCCTCGGCACTGACAAGGAAAGGTCCCCAGATGTTCCGCTGACTTTTTAATTAGGATTAGCACAGTGATATAGCTTGGAATTCTGAAGCTAATTATGAAATATTGAATGTTCAGTGCCAAGAAGCCATCGAACACTCATTGAGAATTTAGTGTATCTTCTCACTGAAAAATTAAATTTCGTCAGGGATTCCATTCAGGGATTCACCATTACAAACTTTCGAAAAAAGTAACAGTTCAATAATACAAAAGCGTGTTTACCCCTAGGCTGACAAATTTTCTCTGCGATTATGTTCACTGGAAGGAACGTTTCCCCCACAAACATCTGTTTCGTAAGGTACATGTGTCTAAATCGGACATGGACGTGGGACCTCAAGTGACCAGAACCGACAGTGGTAGGTGGCCAGGACTATGGCCCTGTACCCAGAGAGATCTGATGAACGAATTAAGGGAACGACGAAGGCAGAAGAGGAAGAAGAGGAAGGACCTGTTTCCTTGCGAGCCGGACGACGAGAAGGACGCCTTCGATGATCCACAGAACGACTTTAGTGATCGTAAGGAATTGGGCCACGCTAGAATACCACCAGTCTGCCCCTCGGCCGCCAAAGATTGGACAGTCGATCGGGCCGCTGGCGAACAGCCAGGTTTGGTAGACGGTGATTACATAATTTTCGAGTTACCCTCGAAAAGGAAGGCCACCAGAGTCTACGCGGATGTATGTCTTCGTGGACTGAAGGGCATGCACTTGCCGGAACTGGGGCTGTTGCGACAACGTCGAAAGACTTGGAAGTTCTGTTTCTATCAGGCCGTCGTTGCGCTTCTGGCTAAGACGCAGCTGAGGTACACTTTGACATACGAAATGATTACACTCGACTTTTAGGCGGGGATTCATAGTCACTACTTATTCTTAAGCAAATGCTTAAGTTCCCACTTATGAATGTATACGTGTATACGTGTGCACTACACATTTATAACTGGGGACTTAAGTAGATATGGGCAAAATTTTTATCTAAATAAAAATCGCGAATAAAGAAAAAAAGATAAAAAAATTGTTATCGTTACTGAAAGCTTAAACAAAAAAGTAACTTTATCGACGAGCATCGATTAAATAAATTTGTTCAACGAGAATTATCCGATGAGTAAAAGTTACTTTTTGTAACCGCAATATCCTTAAAAGAATTAATATAACGCCCTAAAGGTACAAATACGCATGGAACGCGAACATCGACTACATCTACGAGCACGCGTGGACGCTGTACACCCACATCGGTATGATCAATGTCAAAGAGAAACAGCGACTCGACGATATCGTCGTCTACAATTACAAGTACAGCATCGAGGTGGAATTGCTACGGGAAATGAACGATGTACCCGTAATAACTGACGTGGACTGGGATTACCTGGAGCCGAAACTAAGACGCAAACTAAAACTGGAACGCAAGGAGCTGATGAACGTTCAACTGGAAATCGGTTCGGAGAAGATCACCGACGATCAAAAATTACCGGTCCACCCGGGCGTGAAAAAACTAGAGGACTGGTTCGAGAAATTGAAGATACGATACCGTAACTGTATATTCCGCACCACTCGATTCTGTCTGGCGTTCTGGCGGGACAATCTCTTCTGGTACCTGTACAATCCGTACCGTTGCGACGAGTTCGGTTTCTGGGACGACAACGGGTTCGCGTGTATCTTAAAGTTCTGCTCGAGGGAGTCACTCAGACGGCACCTGATGATATTAACGTTACGAGCCTACGTGCACGTCATCCCAAAGTCAGCCATACGAAAGACCAAGCAAGAGGCGCCCAAAACGGACTCGGTCTTGGACGGAGAAGACGCTCCGCCGTTGGCACAGCCGGAGGAGGAGCTACCTTGGGAGGAGGAGTGTTACACCGTGCAGATCTACCACGTGACCCATCATTGTTGCCAGATCCACAATCTGAAGCTACTCCAACGGGTCCCCCCGAGACCAGCCCAGCAGCTGGTGAAGCGAAAGACGATCGACGATTGTCCGTTTGACCCGCTGGACGTCCGTGATCCGTGCACGATCGAACAAGAGGAAGGTGATCTTAAGGACGCGATCGAGAAACCGGCTTGGCTCAAACTGTACAAGATCACCTGGGCCAAGTGTATGCCGGTCACACAGAAGAAAAAGGCCAGCAAGGAGCCCAGCGGCGGTAAGATGCGATGGCATCAGTACGTTGTCGAGGAGTCGAACAAACTGTTTTCCTTGTGGGGAGAACTGCACATCACGGATGGTATGTTCGATCGGGGGAATCGTGGTATGCAGACGTACGCTTGTTACGTGGTCTGCGCTGGCATGACCAGGATCATGGCGCCCGAGTACTGGAGCTCGAAGACCTTGGATGTGATCGTGATGTGTGGGGATCGGTACTATACGTACAGCAAATTGGAGGCGGAGTTCAAGGCGACCAAGAACGAGTACAACCACGTGAACTGCTGGAACAGGTACCTGATGAGCCACTTCAAAATCGGCGAGACGATGTTCGAGGCCAAGGTGCTACCGGCGATATGCGGTAGACTTTATTCGAGATCGAATAGGTATCTGTGGCAGTCGGTGGAACAAATGTTCCTCAAGTATCACTTCGGTATACTAACCTGCGAGAGCTCCTGTATGGGTGTGTTCAAGTTCTGCGGCGCTTATTACGTCTGCGACGTGAACTCGTTTGGGCCGCCGTTATTTAGTTACGGGGAGGGCGCGGCGTATCTGCTACGAGCCACGTATTTCTTTAAGTTCATCACGATCCTGGTGCTCACTATTGGCTCGCCGGAGTGCAGCCAGTTCGCTCTGAATCCGATCGAGATACTGAAGGTGGTCGACGTTGGCGGGGCCGCGCTACCGATCGGCCGGTCCGACAAGAAGAGGGACAAGAAGATTACCAAGATCGAGTGTCCGTATGACGAGGAGAAGAAGAAACAGATGAGGAAATGGAAGGGCAGGAGGCAGGAGACTGCCAAGACTATTGACAAAATGTGTTGCAAGGGCGCTGACTGATCGATGATTTGCTGGTTTATATTAGTATACAGGGTGAACCATGAATCAAAAAAATTTTTTGTCAACTCTTTTTTTTCATGATTTTTCATGGTCACTGATGTGATGATTTTGCAAATACACTTATAATTTTTTTACGCCTATCTGTTAGAGGATTTCAAGACTAATTAGGTAAGTATTATAACATAACATGTTTTAGGCGTCAAAAAATTATAGGTGTATTTGCAAAAAATTGAAGGTGACCTTGAAAAATCATGAAAAAAAAAGAGTTGACAAAAACTTTGCTACATTCACATTAAAGCTCTTTTGAAACCCTGCTATACCAAAATCCATCTAAAAACAACCGAAGTTATATGCGCCCGGTAAAAAGACATTAATTGAAAAACGGAAAGAAATTGTATAAGAAGTAGTAAATAAGAATATGGTATAAATTGAAAAATATAGATTGTCCTCAAAAATACTACGAACTATCCGTACGACCCAATACGATTTCAACTCCTAAAACATCGTTCCGGACCGCTGTGCGTCCCGATAAAAGGAGTCCGTGTGTCCAACTCCCGATCCCGTCGTGCAAACAGCCGAAAAGTAGGTGTACCAGCGCTAGTAAGTTCTCTGACTCTGAATAATTGAATGGAACAGAAAAACAAGACTCTCCTGCGGTCGGGAATAAAAGTAGCCGCGGTTTAAGTCGATCGTCTTTAGGTCTCAGTGCAGCAGCGGCGACGCGGAACCTATTAAACTTGCACCGCAAGAGAACCGTCTTAGTTCCCATTTGCCCTCACCCCCTCTGTTCCACCGGGGTTTATGTACTTACCAGAACTTGGCACCGAACTCGACGAACTTGCCCCGGTGTCCATGAGTTTCGCGTTACTCAAGCCCAGGTGCTCTTTCACCCCTATCGCACAATACTAATAATATAATCGTTGAGGCACGTAGAACTAAGCCCGGCTAGAACGCCGCCGCCGGCCCGCCGAGGGATTTTAATCAGTGATCCATTCTGCAACGAGATTGGATGTACAGGATGTACGGAACGAAGAGTGGGGACACTTTTTTCCTTTCGATATAGGTACTCGTGAGCTACAGTCAGTGAAAAAAAGTATGCGTTCACTCTTTGAAACAGAATAATCAATTTGAATCAAACATTGACTTCTGGTCAAATTGACCCGTACAGTTCACGAAGGATAATAAAATACTATGCAATTGAGTATTTTAATAAATGAAAATTTCTAATAACAGTAAGTGAGACGCTCATTCCGTCTTTCGATTCGCATAACACTGAATACAAGAATAAAAATGTTCATTTCATAGTTCTCTTTCTAAACTGCCTTTTTAATAGTGTAAATCTATTGACGCGTTGCATTCTTCCCCAAAACGAATCATCCCCGTTCACTTCTTACTTTCACGAAATCAAATTCAACGAAAATAAATAAGAACATCGACATAAAAACGGAAATTTAAATAAAGATTCAACTTACGGAATAAATTTCATTCAATCAGCCAGCGACGATCAAACCTGTAATAATCAAGGAAAAACTGTGTCACCATTAACGAACAGTACCGAATCTTCCGTACAGCAGCCACTGACTCCTTCTAACACCATTCCTCCGTTTCCAATGAATATCAAACGAGAAATCTTAATAAATACCGTTCACATGTAATAAACAGGTGTGTATATCGTTTCGTGTGCTTCGGTTTCAATAATTTATTTCACTGCCTATTATACACATCGAACGTAAGCTGTATGTACAAACGTATTTACACCCAAATTCCGTATTTACACGTTCCCTCGTGGACAAGGTGGAAACCTCCCCCAACCGTTCGCGGGATCCACGATCGGGCCAATGGAAATGAGTCTAACATCGGTGTCTCGACTACGCGACCTCCAGATCGGAACTGTCGCTGTCCTGTTCGCGCGGCATTTGTTGTTGCTGCTGTTGTTGCTGCTGTCTGGTCAACAGCAAATGATCCGCTATCTTGACGGTGGCAGCGGGCACGTTGTCGTCGGTGCGCTGTCGCTGCTCCAACTGAAGCTTTCGCATGTGCTCCTGCTCTTCTCGCTTTTGTTTGCGCCATTTTGCGCGTCGATTCTTAAACCATACCTGAAAAAGGAAAACACTTTACCTGAAGGTGGGCTTGTACCTTTATTTATTAACGAATGAAGACAGTTTTCGTCGAGTAGTGAGAAAACTGTCGAATATTTTTCGGGGAATTTTAAGACACAATAGTCTATTCGAAATGAACTTGACAACTTCTCTACATTTATCACAGCTATGTATAGTAATTTACATTAAAACGTGATTGTACAAAATGAAGCCAAATTTTCTTACTTTTGTTCAGAAAATCCTCTTTTAGGACACTTGTCGAATACATACGAAATTATAACAAGACATTACAGCATTGCCGATAGTCTGAAATAAATATTGTTTCCGGGATATTGAAGCTCAATAGGCAACGATAATTTATGTTACTCTAAAACAATAAACATGGCTCGAAATATACATAATTTTTTTACGAAACATCCACATTCTCTTCATACAGACCAGGTGTCTTAATAATTACGATCGGTAGTGTACGTGTATCAAGACATTCAGACGTCTCATATTGATCAATTAATTATCGTCTATAGTTAAGAAACATTCTGTACAGTCACCTAATATGAGCCAGTTTATCCCCTAATTACGTCGCGCGGAGCAACAGCAGCAGCGAACGGGAGTTAATTACGAGTCCCCGTATAACCTCGTCTCGCTCGTTCGAGCATACATTTATCGTTATTATGTTGTAAAATTGTCGAGAGACCGTAATTTCTATCGTGGGATAGACAGGACGCTTAATTGATAAGCCCCGTTTACCTGCCTCGTCGCCCTGTTCAACGGTAGGAACCGTAACAAGGCAGGGTACGGAGGCTGGCGAAGATCAAAAGGCTTCGCATCCCGCATTCGAAATCAGCATTTGTTCATCACGGTTGTCTGATTCGATTTAAATGATCCCCGACAATCGATATCGCCGCTGTTGCCGATGGTTTCTTCGCAGGTTACAGATATTGCCGCTGATCTCTCGACTAATTACACGGAGGATCAGAAAGTTACATTACATGTAAAACATTTATTATTAATGTTGACGATAATTCCATAGGATTACAATAAAGGTAATTTCCTTCCGCCTTTATAGACATATGAAAGTTTTTTTTATAGATAGCTTTCGAAAGTGGCAGGGTCAATGGACGCTATGTTAAATTTAGCTACGCTTATGATTTCTTAAGCTTCTACTAATAATTCCCGTCCACAGCTAACTTATGATCCTTCTATCCAACGCATTTCCGATGTTTTCATCTTTATACCGGTCCTAATCACCGATCCCCGTGGTCCTCTGCTTTTACAGCTCGACACAACACCTGTCCGTCCGTGTTTCTGCATTCTGTTGATGCAATCACGGAGATAGGGAAGAAGACCGTCGCGAGGGTAAACAGTCGCCGTGCTTCTTTCCAAACACCCGGAGACGGAGGAGTGCTTTAAGGCCCTCTCGAGCCTGTTTCCAGGGGTCCTTTTTTTCTTCCCCCTTTTACCCCTCCACCCTACCATCCCCCAGGCTTTTTCCTCTTTTCCCGTCTCTGAAAGTCGTCTTTCTACTAATTCTGTGCAAACACCGAAAACTCTTGCTCCGCCGCGGCAGGTGCGGCGAAGGCGGCGGTGGCGGCAGGTATATGTTGTTTCAAAGTCTTTAAAGACTCTCGAGACCGGCCGGATTTTCTTTTGCCGGAGCCGACCACGCGGGTGGTTCCCGAACCCGTGGACCCCGCGATAAGTGTGAATGACTTTGGGGATTGTACGATTGTTCGAGCAAATTTCCCGCCACGAGCGGTACAATACGAACATTCGTGATTCCATCCCTCCCCACCTCTCCTGCCACGATTATTTATTCTCACGATCGCGATTGCGCTGACGGAAAAAGTAATAAATATCTGAAATAATGTTAGGATGATATGTGACTTTAATTTCCATGTTATAAATTCTCAAAGTGATCTCCATCGGTGGCTATACACTGCCTAAAAACTATGTTCCTCAGTTTTTTTATTACATAGCTTAAGACAAGAATGACTAAAACAGTCAAAATAACTGGTTCGTAAACTCTTATAAAAATTATTAAACTGTCGTAACAGTGTATTTTCTGAGATTTTTGACGACTTTTATTGTAATATATGTGTAAGTGAAAAAGTTCGTTAATTTATCGACAGTTTCAACAAGTTGTCCCTTCTACAAACGTGACACGTAGAAATAGAAACACGGTAAATCTTCGGTGGCTTTAGTGTTAAGGACACCCTGTACAGTTGTAAAGGATGCACACCCGAGTTCTTGTCACCGAAAAAGGCATCTGTGGCCGAAAGAAGCGGAGAACTGAAACTGAGCATCGATCTCTACCGGGAATCCTTTTAAACGGGACTAGTACACCGTGTCAGAAAAGGATTCTTTCGGCAATCCAGTCTCAATGACACCGTCCTAAGTCCCTTCAAGCGTTCTTCAAGCGACACGAGGTCACCGAAACCATTCTCAGCCACGAAAAATCTTCCTGTGGCTCTATGCACTTAAAAATATCAAAATTTCATCATAGTTTGTGTATTGTGGAAATCATAAACTTACGATAAGTTCTGCAATAATAATTGATATAACTGTCTAATTAGTGCTGCAGATTTATGGAAGTTCAAAATCTCCTAATCTTTAGTAAGTTGTAATAAATAGGAATTCAATATTTATAAAAGAATTTGTATTTAAAATTGTACTCTAATATACAAGTTATCGAAACGCGAATTTATCGGTCACGTAAATACGTTGAACGCTATGATAACAGTATTTTTTTATGACAAATTCTACGCTACATTGTAGATAATATACTTTACAAGTACCCTTCTGAAACAACTATCTATTTTTAAATTAAATTGCTACATAAGCAATCCTAGAAAGGGTCGCGGAGTTTCTACCCAACGTTTAGCCGGATCCCCAAGTAGCCTCGCCGCTCCGTAAATATCCGTTCGGAACGTATCGCCGTCGGGCGAAAAACGAATCACGCTGATTAAACGGGACGTAAGCTCGTCACGAATTAATGGTTTACACGCGAACCTTCACGGCGATAAATCACCAACGACGAAACTCCGGCCACGGCGACGGTTTGTTGCACCCGCGCGATACGGATTTAATGCATGTCTGGGGCCTCGATCGTATGTATAATTGAGGCGAACACATTACCGGGGTTAAAGCTTTTAATCCGGCGTGCAACGTTGTTGGCGGAAGTCGGGCGACGCTCGATAAATACCGGCCACAAATAATTTTAATTGGTCGCATGAAAGAATTATGACATGTTTCGCATGCGACAACGAGATGGGGGGGGAGGGGGGGGGGGGGGGGGGGGGGGGGGCAAGAGGGGCCCGAGAACGATCCGAATGGTCAATGTTTGTCAAACGGAAACCTAATATTCTTGCGAGTTCAGGGGGAGAGTAATTTGTCAGTTTGGTTGGCTACCAATGGGGATGCCCCCGAGAAGTTTTTTAGGGGTTGGGGGGCGAGGGAGAATTCTTAGGATATCGTCTGACACGTGAAAGCTTTCGTTTGTCAGGAATGGTATAGCAGAGTTCGGCAGAATTTTATTCGAATAAGACACGTGACAAGTATAGATACGTGGAATAGTGTACGTATTATAGAAATTTATAGACACAATAATGGCATGTAATATAAAGTTCGTTTCGTTTACGGAACAGATAATAACATTTTGAATTAATTCTTCCATCTTACCTCGATCCTTTCCTCCTTAAGATCGACCTGCTGCGCGAGCTGCTCCCTCAGTATCACGTCTGGATAGTGCGTTTTGTCGAAGGTCGCCTCCAGGTGTTCTAATTGCTCCTCGGTGAATATCGTCCTGTGTCGGCGTTTCCTCTTCGCCATCGGACCGACCGCAGCCGCGTTCGGATTTATTTGATAAGGATGAGTCGCGTGATAGAAAGCCGGCTGCCCGTGGAGAGAAACGCCGGCGGCCGCCATTGCTGCCACGTACCCGCCGGAATACAAACTGGGATACGCGGCGGCTAAACAAATACCAGGAACCATTAAGAACATCGACCGAATTGAACTATATCTCTCTATGATAAACACAGTATATGTATGTACCCTTAAAAACGAAAGGGTCATAAAGCAATCGAAGTTTTAATTATAGGAATATTGAAGTTCGAAAGTTCAAGTTGATAGGACAAAAGCTTCAAGCCCGAAGCTTCAGATTGATGGGAAATAATCGAGAGGATAAGATGTAAGGATGATTTAACTCTGGAAGCACAACTCCTGGTACTTCTGTGACCGGATAGGAAGTAACATCTTTACAAAACGTTTTACTCAAACTTGAGAGGCACTACAGCTTCCACATACCTTACAAAAAATGCTATACTTTGTTATTATACTTTCTTAACATCACGAATATTCTGCAAAAAAAAAATACAAGAGCTCGATAAGAATCGACCTCCAAACTGTTTAACGTCAACGGTACTTCAAAACACCCCCTGTCACCGTGGTAAAAAGCAAGGGAAGCCTTTGACGGGAATGTTGAAATTATAATATCGTTTAGCACCACGCAACCCTATTCCCGGCGGGCGGAAAAAGAAAGGGAGCGAAAAATACTCGCACAGCTTCCCAGGGGGGAAGGGGGATGTGTTTTGGTTTAAAATCTCGAAGAAAGCTGCTTAGGAGGCACGACGTCGTCGCATAAAAATGCGCGAAGGGCGCGCGAATCCTGGATGCTTTCAACCGGCGCGCCTCAACCCGCCGTGAATTTTCTCCTTCTCGTTTTTTTCATCTGCCTTCCGTGGGATTGCAAGGAGCTAAATCGTTCGTGCGTGATCGAAACGGATTGCGGATTTCTGGCCGCGCGGCGCGCATCCCCAATCTGCACGCCAACCCCCTGTGTACTTTCTCTTTCTCGATCGCGGGTGAAATACTTAAAGCCCTCCGGGGCATAAAGGAAATTTTCCTTCGCGGTTATATACGTGTCGTCTCCCGTTGAGGATTTACGCCTTCTTTCATTTTTCCGTTACGGGGGTGCGCCGAGCGTGATACACACGCGGTACCAAAAATTGTCACCCGGCCGTCATCGACGCGTTTACGGAATTAACGGGGTGCTGACACGTTCGAGTTGTGGGAATAATGTGGAATCACGAATCACATTTTCTATCGTAAAAAAAATGGATTTTACTCGGTACGGAAAATAAGAATTTGCGTAAACATCCACAGTCTAATATTCTAATGGTATACTTACATAAATGTCCACAACAAAATAAACGAAACCTCTTCTCCCACATTCGTTTCTATATTTTTATTATAATACTTCTAACCTACAACCTAAACTCTACTTCCAATCCTATCTATTCAAAAAAGATTTAAAATTCTCAGGAGATTTTCCTTTTTATATTCACCCTTAACACCACAACTACCAAGGATAACCTACAGCTATTATCATCATAGTTATAAAACATCTACGTCACGGTCTACGATAAAATACATAAATTACTTTAAAACGTGTCATTTTGCATAAAGATCCGCAGTCTACTCATCAACAAAAACAGTAAAACAACTCTCACACGAACTTGTGCCCTATGTTCTCTCGAAAGAAACTATCTCCACAAACTGTCACCAAACTTACCAAATAGATCAGCGGATGTGAAGGCCAGATGATGTATCTGCTGTTGCAGCGGATGCATCGCGGCGGTCGTCCTCGTGCCGACAGCTTCTGGATTCTGAACGATCGATCCCAACCCCGTGGAATTCCCAGCTGTCATGTTACCGATCGGCCTAGGCGCCAGAATATTCTCGATCGTGAACGCGGACGTGGGCGAGGACATGGTCGCCGAGGAGCTGGGTCTGGAGACGTCGCGGGGTCTGAATCGCAGCTCCTCGGAGGTCAACGAACCCCTGGCGAACACTTTCTCGAGGTCGTGCCTTCGTCCACCGATGCAATTCTGTTCCTCGTTGTTCTTCAGCTTCAATTGCAAGCTCTCCGGCGAATAATTGTACAGATAACGATGCCCGTAGCCGGATATACCGGGACCATCTTGCAGAGGGCTCGACGGCTCCGTCATCGGAGAACGCGATCTGGGCGAGTCACTCGCGTAGGTGCTCTCTACCATGTTACGGGAATGAGAGAAAAAAATTGTAATTCCCGATCTGAAGCCGTCGCTCCGATACTCTCCGCGAACGATATCCGTTTTCGTCTGATTCCTTTTTCTGACTGGCCGCGAGAACTAGAACCGGCGCAAAAACATTCCTTAGCTGTCAGTGTCACAACCGTCAACCAGGTACAGCTTCATCCGTCGCTTCGTGGACACGGGGGTTGTTCGATCAACGGTATCTACACATCGGTCTCTACCGAGGGTCACATGTCAAACGATTCACACTGGCGACCTTCGAACTTGAAATGTCCCATCGCAGTCAAACACCAGCGCACTTATGTTCCTCGTCAAATGATCGTCTTCGTGACCTTCTTCACAAGGTCAAAATCGAGTTACCGTGACTAGGGAGGGAATGGTATCACACTGTTATCGTGGGCGAACAGGGTGGGTTGCAACAAGATGCTCGACGAAGCAAAAAGGATCGATCGGGGTATCGACGATCGATGAACAAGACCTGGTCCAAGTCGGGTTGTCGGCTTCAACCAGCTGTGAGTCGGATCGAGGACGTGTGAGCGAATCCGAGTGGAGTGGTCGTCCGGCCACGCAGTGACACCGACGAAATAAACGATAAACGACGACTGGCCCCGACTTCGTGTGTACGCGTTGACCTCTCTCGGGGGGGTTCGCGCTTAGATTCGCCGGCATCCACGTACGGGTAGCCACCCCCGTGTCAGTGACAGAAGGACAGGAGAGACACCCTAGGGTATATCCAGCCGGATGTGTATCTAGCCAGCGTTCCGTGAGGGGAGGGCGTGGCTTCGCGTTAGCCCCGCCCAGTGTTTCCCCCCACTCCACGGCGTCCCCTACGCGACAGGCGAGGATACGCCGCGAGTGGCGGCGGTGAGAGAGGGGGGTGGCCGCGAGGGGTGAGGGGAGGTGCCCGCAGGCCGAGAGGGAGCGAGACTCGACGATGGTTTCCGGGAGGATGCTGGCGTAGGTGCAATCTCCTGATGACAGCGATGGTTTGGGGGTAAAAAAAAAATTGTGGTGGGAGGAACGTCGATGGGGGCCGACAGAATGCGCTTTCAACCCTCCCGGCGAGTCGGTGGGGGAGGAAGGGGAGGGGTCGGGGGAGGGAAGAGACACGTCCGGGCCGAAAACGACGGGTGGGAGAAACATATTTACAATGGATAATCACGACGCGTCTCGCGTATTACAGAGCTTTCCGAGTTTGCCTTGCGAATCGTATTCACGAATTAATCATGCTTCCGGAAGTGTTTGGGTTTCGGGACTGGTGCGCGACCGTATCCGGTGGTTATTGTTTCTGCAAATAATTTCTCCATTTTCCCTTCGCTTCCTCCCCCCTCTGGGGACCACCGGTGCGGGCGATTATCGGCGATGATGTATCGAGCTAGGTTTTTTTTTTCGCCTCCCTGATGGCAGCCCCGATGTTCGTGCTCGCGGAAAGAAGCTGCTGCATCGATCGGTCGGCAAATACGAAAATAAGATTCGATGTTTTTTAATCTACACCACGGTCCCCGTTCTGCATACATACGTTCACGCACTCGCCCCGTTATCGACGAATCAAACATACAGGGATTCCAAGTGGTGCAGAGCTGTCCAGGGACAAAATTTATCAGCTCATACGGTTATTTAGTTAATTGAGCCGCCGATTGAAACGAGTCGTTGCGTTTTGAATCTATAAGCGTGACTATGTTTTTGCTATTTCCTCTTTTGGTTTTTCTCCGTCTTTTTTATTTCTGGTTCCGTTTTTGTTTGTTACTGCCTATACATCAGGATTCGAAGCGATAAACATAGAAATGCTGTGGATTTTACACGAACATTCGAAACGTCGAACGAAAATTCTATTGCTCGTGGGAGCAATGAGTCGTGTTGCTCGATTTAATACGATACCGGTGGAATCTGGCGCAAAACTCTGTAACGTCCATCCGTGGAACGTTATGAATATTCATACCAGTGTGTAATCAAGGCAGGGGCTCAACCCAGTTGTAATTCGACTAATCGGAAAGGCACTAATCGCTTCATTGATCTTCGCGCCGTTCGCATTGAAACACCGGATATCGAGATATTTGGAATTTGTACGCGACTGGATTATCGACTGGCTATTAACGGATATTAGATGACACTTTTTTTTTTACTTTTTCATTTCTGCACGGTCGAGCTTTAGGACCGAATACGGAATATGTATGTACATGGGAGTTTTGGTCGAATTTGATCTCTCAACACGATTTCAGACATGGCATACTTGGTTCGTTTTTATTTTAACCACAATACCTACATAAGAATTGGAAATTTTAGTATACCTATTGTATATTTAATGTATTGACTAAAATGATTGAGTCCACATAAATTATCTAAGAAATCTATTTTAAATATACAAAGTCAAGCACTAATTAGATGCAAAAAACTCAAAAAACTGGAATTTGGCCTTTCAACAGTTCATACCACGATTGACTACATTACGCGACAGACGATATTACATGCAGTTTACCTAGTGTCACACGATATTAGATGCAGTTAGCTCGAAACACCAGGTTCTAGGCGTTCCCGGATTCCGCCGAGGGGGGACCCGTTGATCCGGCAGATCTGTTCAATTATGTAAATCCCGCCCAATGCGTCCGTATTAATAACATAAAACCGTTGTAATGTGCATTGACTGTCGTTCTCATTGTTGCCAGGGAAAGGGAGGGGGGCAATGTGGTGGGGAGGATTGTGATGCGATACGTGGAGAACCGAGCGTGAAAAGGTTCACCATGGGGCGCGCACGTACCCCAGAGACATTGTTAGATCTCGCCCTCCCTCCTTCCCCTGGCCCGTGTGCACACTTCGATCCACGGAATCGAAATCTTTGCCAGCCTTAATCCTAATCCGTACGTTAATCGTGGCCCGATCCCCGGATCCCATGGCTCCGTGTATGTACGGCGCCCACCGGTTTAGGGCTGATCGTTAGATCCTTCGAAAGAAAAAAAAAAGAAAGCTGTACATGCTGCCAATCGGTGCATCGTTCACGTGGATTGTGTTCACAGCGAAGATGGCCCCCTCTATTTTTTATTGTTCGACCAGAGTCGTGAATTTCATTATCACCGTGGCGAATAGACGATCTTACTGCTCTTATTTGTATGCTGATGACGTCGATGGCTTAGACGCGATATGCATTAGTGTATACTAGTTTCGGCGGATTTTTCGACATTTGCAATTGCCACAGAATTTCAGAATAGATACGGTGTTATTGGAAGGTGTGAAAAGCGGTCGGAATGAATTTAACTTTAGAATTACCAGCGTTGAATGCATATTAAATTAAATTGCATAATATATTAATAGATATACTGTATAATGCAGTATAGCAGAATATAGTGTAATGTAAAATGCATAGTAAATTGAAGGTAGACATCAATACAGACGAAAGTTCTTTTATAAAATAAAAAATAAAAGTTCCTATGGACTTGGACAATATTTATATGTTATTATGAACGCAATAAAGCCTCAAAGAATCCAAAATCCTGCTCCGTTTTAACACTAAACCAACTACAACCGGTCAAATGACCGGTTTTGCTTAACTTTTAAATATTGCTATCTGCAATTCTGAATTTGCATAAATTTCCATAGTCTAGTTTAGTCATTACTGACTATGGTGAATTAGTCATTATTGACCCCCTATGGGACCTCGTGGGACCGTCGAACCGCAATTCCAAGGATTAAACGTCGTTCATCTCTTTATTCGGTATCGAAGCAATACCTTAACGCGCGAAATCTTACAATTAATAAGTCTCACAATTCATCAGATTCGTTGAATATTAACGAAGGTAAGTGAAAAATCCTTCGTTTCACGCGTAACAGCCCACGAAAAGGCTTTCCCTGTCCACCACGAAGCAGTAGACGATGGATCGTCGTGTTTGGTTTAAAAAGTTCCCGCGGCGGGGGCGCTTCCACGCGAAGGATCACAATTTCCACGGTAATCATCGTGGATGAATCCCCCGGCGCTAATGCGTCGACAATACAGATGTTTTCACGTCTAAGCGGCGTGCTAAGTGGATGTCCTCCCTTTTTCACCCGTGTTCCCTCCGGTCCGTCCCCCCTCTCCCCTGAACTCCGGCCAGTGCCTAACCGGGGGGTGCCAAGTTGTACCTGACCGACGGCCGCTGGATATAACTCCGAAGGTGAACGGGTCTCGCGGTATACTACTCGTTAGCCCCCGGAGTTACACTTGACTGGACGCCTTCTTGGCTCCTTTAGGTGGGGAAATAATCGACAACAGAGACAGGACCAGCAGCTACCGAGAAGCCAATAGGAGAGGAAATCGAGCCTTGCCCAATTGTCCGGTACCCGCCTTGGAACACGATGCTAAGGCCCAATGTCCAACTCCGGTTGTTTGTATCCTCTTCGTCGCCGTAGGATGTCTTCCGGTCTGGCGTTTACCAGGTGTATACCAGACGAGAGCAGATATTCGAGAAGATCCAAAATCTGGACAGCTTAAGGGGACCACGTGTAAAATCCTGAGGCAAGCCCATGATTATCCTACGCGAGCGCGGAATTTTTTCTGTCGGATACCAGACAGCAATTGGAAAACTCGCCGCGGGTGCGGAAGATGCACACCGTAGGTAGCACGGGGATCGTTAGACGTCGTCGTGAACGGGTTAATAAAGTGCCTGCCGGTCCGTTCGAGCGAGAAATCGTCGCTTTCACGTCGGGTTTGGCTTCCTTTGGGATCGGGAATTGGGGACTGGAGGTGCCTATGTATAAATTAGGACCGAGGTTTTTGTAAATTACGTTTTACGTTTGTAGGAGAAACCAACCGGTAATTGACTGCATACCAGTGAATTAGGCAAGAAATGTAAATAATAAATTTAAAAATTTCCCATCGAATAGGCACCCTGAAAGGGCTCTGGGTTCAAACAACAGTGGATTATTGCTTGTCTGTGTGGTCATTTTGATTTTACAAGCGTTTACCTCAACGCAGGCGAAGGGAACACGCCCGTCTTGGCCCCGAGGAGAACAAA